TTTTATTGAATGAAAGCTAATGACTTGCTGCTTTAATTTGAAGAGGGTGTTCTGTGTTTTAGCATGTAGAAGGCACAGTTTCACAGAAGAAGGATGATTAAGTTACTTGGGGGCTGATCTACAGAGCCCTTTTGGTTCATTTCTTTGTTCAGTCTTTGGCTTCTCTGCTGTCTCCTGTTTGTAGTTCCAGGTTAATGCTGGGTGGTTGTGTGTTCTCACAGTGTGTTCTGTGAGTCTTAAAATCTTTCCATGCAGTCAACTCTGTATCTCTTCTGGAGTGAGGTTTTGTGTTTTCAGGAGTCCTGTTTTCTTCCAGAGACAGAAACAGGCACAGGATTGTCCATCATAGTGCCTTGTGCTGTGAATTGGGATTAGAGTGCAGAAGAGATCTTGTTTTTCAGGCTCCTCTGCCTGCAGTGATTTCCAGCAAAAAATATCCTGGCAGCTCAGGTCTGAAAGGGTGACCTAGGCACAGGGCTCCTTTGTCCAGGCTCTTTAATAGCCTGGTTTTACTGCCTAATCCAATTGTGCTTTGGCTTGGGACATGGAGTTTTTCTTTGTTGTTCCTCTTGGTTCCTAAGCACAGGATCTGGAAGTTGCATTTGTCTATCTGTCTGCTAGTTGTACTCTTGCCCAGATATCCAAGCTGCTGACTTGGAAACACTTCAAAGTTTTCCATTCTTCAGAGTGGCTGTCTTGACTGCTACTACAGGGAGGTTTTAGTGTTTTCTGATTATGGAGAAGCATTTATTATTATGCTTTATGAGATAATGCAACTTTATTTATACTTTTTTTTTTGTAATATAGAAATGAATCTCCTTAGGTGTACACTGGACTTGACAAAACAGCTAAGATTTTGCTAATGTGTTATCACAGAAAATCAGAGAAAGGCATCTGGACAGATTTGGCAAGTTTTTTTAATGATTTAATCCCTTTTCCCCCCCTTGTCTCCCTTCCATTCCTTCTTGAGACAAATGCAGAGATTTGCTCTGGGCACGCTATCAAATTCTCTGGTCTGGCATATGGCTCATCAAGTCATCTTTCTTGTGCTCTTAAACTTTTCCTCCTGTTCTCATCTTCCTCCTGCCCTGTCCTTGCTCTTGTGCACAATTTATGAACTCCTCTCTCTGTCTTCCTGTCCCAGGCTTACTCATCTCATTATATCTCCTGATGCCAGCAAGGATGCTGTTGGTTTGCCATATGGTGCTGAGAGGTGCTGGTATTATCACAAACACCGTTTGCCTGGCTTGCTGTAGCCCCACTGATGCTTCAATGGTCTTGCTGCTGCTTTCAGTGAAAGCTTCTGCGTCTATTCCTCTTGTATGATTTATTATTTCCCATAAGGTGTTTGGTGTGTTTGATTTTGTTCATCATCAAAGATAGGTAATATTCTGGGGGTGCTAACACCTGACTTAACGTGCAAATTACAATGCTGATTGAAAGTCCAGACTTAAAACAAATGCAGGGAGTTGACTCTCTACATCATATAGGTGTGAAGTCCTTTTCCAGGATATTTATGAATGCTAAGATTTTACACGAGTTCAGAAGTTCTCAGGCAAATATATGGAAGCAAAATCAGCTGTGAGCTGAAACCCCTCCCAAAAGCACCATTTCTAGTTTATGGAATCTCTGGACTGAAAGCTGCTGGAGTTTGAACCTGTTCTGCAAGTCCTAGCACTGTGTATCTGCTGTGGCCTTGCATGCTTTCCTTGGCACTGTTGGCCACAGGACACTGGACTCTTTGGACTTCCATCTTAAGCTGATGCAGCTGCTCTTTTCTGGGCTGGCTGATTAACTCTGCACTTAGAATACATGTTTCTCATTTCATTCCCATTATATCTGTGTTTAAAATGTAAGGCTATAAGGGTACAGTCATTCCTGGGTCACTTTCCTCAGACTCTTTCCTCATTGGCAACTGGGCCTGGCTGTCCCATTATAAGCAATCCAGGCTGCCTTTTCAAAGTCATTAGGTTGTTTGTCCCATTGCTGCCAAGAGGATGTTTCATGCCTTCATTTTCCAGTGCTTAAAACCCATCCTTTCAATTCCAGCTAAATTTATTCATGGCCATTTTATATCCATTTGTCCTAGTGCCAAATTTTTTCCTCAGCCTAAGTATCTGTCTGCCTTCTTCAGTGTTTACTTCTCTGCCACCCAGTGTGTCTGAGGGGAACAATCCAGTTGTCTCCTGGCTATCATTTTGTTAAGGTGACTAAACTGTGATCTTTAAGACTTTTAATGAGTTATGTCTCTGCTGCCATAATGATTTCCTTGGCACGTTTCTGCATGGTTCCTTCTGAGTTCTGCACACAGGTGTTCTGTTCAGGTGAAGCCTTCTTTGAGAACATCCATGCTCCCTTCTCCACTGGCAGTGGTTTTCTGAGACCTGATTTGTCCTTTTCATGGCTGTCACCCTGCTCGTTATGCTTGTCCTTATCCCTTAATGGGCTCATGTATCTAGGGTGTCCTTCGACTCATTTCCAAATTATGAGCCCCTATTCGTAACAGTAATCCTTATTAAACCCTAAATGCTTAACCTTGCACTTTGACTATTACATTTCATCACATTTCTGTTCCTTCAGAACTCAAGAACATCTTGTTACTCCTGGAAGATATTCTGAACTCCCTGCTATTGGCAGCAGTTCCTGACTTCACACGGTCAGCAGATTTTGTTAGTATACTCTGACTTTTTGTGCCAAGGTCATTAATGAAAAGCTGAAATAAGATCAGTCTGAAAAGATCCTTGAGGACTTCCACACATAAGTTCCCTCTAGACTAATAATTCCTTTTCCAACCAACTCCTGTCATTGAGTCTTTAACCCATTCCTTTCCCACATTGTAATTCTTACACTAATCCCCATGTGCTCCAGCTTGGCTAATAATTTTCAGTGTGCCACCATATCAAATGTTTTATTGAAGTACAGATAAATTAGATCTACGACACTTCCCTTGTGTAGAAGAAGTTGGTTTTCTTATCAAAGAAAGATACAAGTTAGGTTGGCTTGATGTACTCTTGATAAGTCTTTTATCTCTTAGACTTATTTTACCTGTTTTACGATTTATCCTCATGTCTCATGTTTTTTTCTCTCAAAATTTGTTCTAAAGCAATGCAGATCAATGTCTACTGACCTACGTAGACAGCTGGAGCTGGAGATTAGACTGAGAACATGCTCTGGGAATTCTGGAATCCTCTGAGGATGAATGAAGTTGTCTGCATACAGTGTTATTCACAGACACCCCCAAAAAGTATTGGAAGATCCAGATTTGCTGATTTACTGTCTGATGGGAGGTTTGCTGGCAGTGTTGTCTTTATGACAGTAGTGTAGCTCTGCTGAAACTCTTAGCAATGCTCATAAGCACCTACAACATGAAACAGAAGCCTAGAGGAAATTCTGAGAACTCTTCTGCTTGGAGCCAGAGATACTCTGGTCATTCCTTCATTGCTCTGCCAGGTGATTGAGACATCACATTAGGCCTGTAAAATACAAGTATGCAGAGCAGTCTCTCTTTAAAGACACGTACTGGAGTGTGAGCTTTGGGAGATGCTCTAGGTGGAATTTTGATTTGCTTAGCGTTGTTTACTTTGTCCCAGGCTTTAAACTTGAGGAGAGACTGAGTGATCAGTGGGTATAATGTTCCTTTTCTGAGCAGCCTGAATAGCTGGGGGATGACATTACTCTTCCACCATCTGAATGATTTTTGTTCAGTTGGAGCTAAACAAGTAATGAAAGCATGACTGTGCTTCCACTGGTGAGATTTTTAGCTACTGATTTCCTGTTCTGTCTGCATTTGAGTGCGTTTTCTTCACAGTTTATAAAGCTGTTGTTGAACTCTGACAGATTCATTATGAAAGAATGACTTTAGATAGAGATGTTGACCCAGTATCAGCAAGACCCAGCTCTTGAATCTTAGTCTCTGCTGCTGTTGGGACACACAATGAACAGGAGCTTGGTGACAAAAAATATTTGTTTGCTGCAGGATGATAATTGGCTCAGTATGGAATTTAATGCAATTTTATTTGGGGATTGGTCTGTAAAGAGATTACATTTTAAAGAATCCTGGCACACGGAGGTTTTTGTAGCTGTATTTATTTAATCAGCTCTGGACACTTGAAACTTCACAGCAGTAAGCCATGTTAGAACAGGGGTCTTGCTCCAGCTGAACATGACTGGAAAAGAAAGTCTTCTGTGAGATAAGTGGGATGAAGATTTTACCACGAGGAAGGAACTTGCCTCTAGAAATTGGGGAGCAATGATGTCTCAGTTCAGCTTCTCAAGCTGCAAATTAGTGACCAGCTCCCAGTGAAACCAGTGCTGTGCTGGCTCAGGCAGGTTCCCTTCTTACCTGCTCAATTAAATGACACAAGGTCCTCAGAAATGTCTGTCCCTGCCTTTACTCACTGAAAGCAGCTCTTACTACAGAGCTTTAGCACCCTCCCTGCCAGTCCTCTGAGTGGGGTCCTGTACATACTTCTGCAATGCAAGATGTGGTTTCAATTAAAAGCAACTCAATTTTGTTTTCAGTTAAAGCTGGGAGGGACGATAGGGGTGAAGCTTGTTTTGGGAAAATAGACAAAGAAGTGGGATTTTGCTGGAAATATTGACATGGATGTCCCAGCTTGATATGGAAGTTATCTGCTCATGCAGATAGAAGCACTTGTGTCTGGAGTGGGCATGTGCTAAGTCTCTGGAACAAAGAAAAAGCCAGGGGCAGCAGTTTAAAGACTTGTTAGATCACTTTGTGGGTGTTGCTTTAAATTTTAATGGTCACTACAAATCAGTGTAACAGTAAAGCTAGAGGGCTAATGGTCTTTTAGAATAACTGAGTCAGCTGCAGAGGCTGGATCCTCTGTTGGTGTAAAACATTGCAGTTCTGTCAAAGTCCATCATAAGCTGTCAGTTTAGACCATCTGGGAAGCCTTGCCCAGAAGACTGTGAAGATGAAGGTTACAAAAATTATTGAAGAAATTGACATTATTTCTCCATCTCTCTTCTTTCCCCAGGGCAGCCATTGGGGCTCTGGCAGCTCTGCTGAGATCAAGTAAGCTTTTTTCTTCATATTCTTTCTGAATTTCCTTTCTGTGCTGTGCTGCTGGACAGAATGATCCTGTTGAACCTCATTCTCCCTTGGTATTCCCTCATCCCTTGGTCCCAAAGAGCAATGCATAGGAAAGAGGCAGCAGTGCAAGAGTTTCCTGTACCAATTCTGATTCTTGGAGCACCCCCAGCCCTGTGGGAGCACAGGCTGGACTCTTATTTTGAGTATTTAGAGAGCACTGGTTGTCCTGGGGCTTGGTGCAGTCAGAGAAGTGGGGGATTTCTCCAGCCAGTGACAAATACTTATTGCCCTTCCCAATTTATTGTTCCTTCCATGGAAAGGGAGAAAAGGATGTAAAAACAGCAGTGGTGTTGGGTTGTGAATGGTAAAGTGATTTTAGGAAAAGACATTGTCTGTTTCCTGCCTTTTTTTTTTTAAGGTACTGGAGCTGGAATATAGGAAATGGTGTTGATCCTGTAGAATCAAATAGAGCATCACATACCAGAAGTCAGCCTGAACTGTGCTTGTAGGGTGATTTCTGCAGTTCTGAGTGGCCAAGAATGTATTCTAGTTTTCTCCTTGTCCTGTGGTTCAGGGCGTGAGAAGCTCCAGGCTTTTGGAGCAGACTGCTGTGGTAGCTGCATACAAATGAGCAGGTTGTGTCTTTTGGGAAGTGTGGGTCAGGAGATGTGAGAAACAGCTCTGGTTCCTTGAGATAAATTCACCATGCTTGAAAAAGCAATGAATTCTTTTTCAGGATTGCACCAGGACATCTTTCTTTTTCACAGTTAACATATTTGTGGCCCTAGCCTCAGTGCATTTGAGTGGTGCAGGGGTTCTTGGAAAGTTAAGAATCAAATCTGGTGAATGCTGTAGCACTTGAAAATTGCTTATGAAAACAGGGGTAAAGCTGTACACAGCAAAGCACCCAGAAGCACCAGAGCATGTTTTAGTTGGGATACAAACTAAATGGAAGGCAGGAATCCTGGAGAGTGCTACAGCAGTGAAGTGGTGGACTGATTATTGTGAGGTTTTTTGTTGAGAATTCCATTAACCTGCTTGCTGGGAAATGGTGGGGAGATTGTATTTTGATGGTGCTGGTGGCTGTAAGGCAGACGGGACAAGAACATGGCCATTCTGGGGATATCCCTGCGGGAGTGTCCTTGAGTGTTTCAGCCCAAAGGGATCCAGGGGATCGTGGTTATACATGGGGCTGTGCTGGAGGTTCAGTGTCTTCTTGCTTTTAGCAGAGCTACACTGAAAAAGCAGTTTTAAAGGGAGCAGGCAGATGGCAGTGTGTCTCCCTGATGGATTCAGCAACATCCTTCTTCATCTCAGGCTTCCAGAAGCTCTACTTGAGGCTTTGTTCACCTGCAGAGCTATGGGCTGGCTAGAAACTGTTTGGCTTCTGTCTCCTTCCTAACAGAAGCTGATGCTAAATGCTCACTTTTCAGGTGCATAACTGCAAGAAGCAAGGTATGCCTGAGAAAGAGACATCAGAGTAAGAAAAAATTACCAGTCCAGATGGACCTGGGAAATTGTGGCTCTTGTGTTTCAGAGGGGGAAGTATAAGCTGCTCTAAAGAAGTAAGTGATGGAACACAGCAAACTTGTGCTTCATCCACAAGAGGGAAGAAATGCTTGGATGCCCAGTGAGAGATGAGAGACCTTGGTTGTCCTGTGTCCCTATATCCAGTGATTGCCACGCAGTAGTAGTCAAAGAGATGGTGAATAATGGAGGAGGAGAAGTTTAAGTCCCTTCTAATGGCAGTGCTGTAGCTTTGTGTCTCTGAAAGTTCGGATTACTGATATGGATATTGATATCAGATACTGATATTTCTTGTCTGATCATCAGCTAGTCTCTCCCCCTTGACATATCTCTTTGCAAACATCCCAGAGTATTTTACCAATCCTCTCATGCTGCTCCCCCAATTACTGTTCACCACCTGCCGTGCCCACATGCATGCACCAAACAGCTCCCACTGAGTTCTTCCTCCATTGCCTTACTGCTTTTTTAATATCTCTTGGCTCTCCACCATGTTAAGTCTGACTTTATAATAAGGCTGAACATTCTGATTGGTAAGTATCTGTAGTGATGCTGGCTGTCTGTAAGAGCATCAGGAGTTTTATTGTTCTTCTCTTTGATGTTACAGTGAAACTTTCCAGCGTTACTCATGTCCATTCTTCCTTCTTCAATTTCTAGATGTTCACTACAGGCCAGGGTGGGGAGGAGGAGGCAGATCCTGACTATAGATAAACTATAAAATATATAAACTGTATAGATAAACTGAGGTGGGGTGAGGTGCTGCAACTTCCCCAAAATCTCCACTCTCTGTCCCAGAGTGAACATGCTATTTTTTGCAGTCTCCTTTGGCTTTGCTCTATTACTTCTTTGTACATATGTCTTCATATCTTGGTTCAGCTCTGTATTAAGCTCTGAGGAACTCATTGTGAAGCATTCCTGTGTCTTTGAGACCCCAGGTGTGGAGGGGCTGGAGCCTGTTTGGGCAGTGCTTGGAGGCGTGGGATGCCCTCCAGGACACTCTGAGCCGTGAGGTTTATTGCTTTTAGTGAACCCAAACCCCAGAATAAAGCAGGCAAACCATTCCCAGTTGGGGGGCAGTGGGATCGAACTGGACAGCTGCTATCCCAGCACAGACAAACCCAAGGGGTGCAGAGGCTGGAGGGGATGTGAGGGAGCAGGAGCCACACGGTGGCGATGTGATTATAGGGATCCCCCACCGTGCCTAATCCAATGTGTATTTTGGGTGAGTAATTTGTTTATCAGCAGGTTATTTTAATCTAATTTTGGTCGTGTTTGTTATTCCCGGCTATCTGTGCTTCCCAGAATTACTGGCTTGCATGTCTTTAAGGAAATTAGCTAGGGCTGGTCTCAGAGGCATTGGCTGAGCAGATATTGAGGGAAAAGGCTGGGGAAATGGGCAGGGCCCTTGGTGCAGTGCTTGCCTGGTAAAATTGTGATGAGCAATTTAAAAAGACAGGTTGTGCTGACCTCCTGATGGTTCTTATTTCATCAAGACAATTCTGTGTGCTAACAGCAGTTACTGCTGATGGCCTTTCCCCTCTCTCTTTCTAAATCTTCCTCCTTTTGCTGTCTTTATCCTCTTGCCTTTCCCTACAGCCTTTCATCTCTAATATCCTACTCATTCTTCCCCATCTTCCATCAACTAACCTTTATTTAACCTTTCACCCATTTCTTTTTTTTATTTTTTTTAATTTTTTATTGAACCATAAGAATCATATGCTGCTGGCATAAGATAATCATTGTCATTCTTTTCCTTTTATGTTGGCATCAAGGAGGGGCAAGTAACTCTGAGGAAGAAAGTGATGTTCTAGCACAGAAGCAGATTAGGCCTGCACTCTCTACAACTGAATTCATAATGCTTGACAACAGATCTAGTGAGGCAAGTCTTTGATCTCAAGTCGAAATACCCCATTGTTAAACCATCCCAGCTCCTGTAGCCAACAGCACAATGTCTGGGATTTGCCTCATGCAGCAGGTACCCATCTCTTATCACCAGTTTAAGTCTTTATTATCTATCTCTGGATTCAAACTCCAGTGTCAGTCTGGCTCCAAATCCATGATCACGTCTTGTAGGGTACTGTGATAAGAGTTGAATTTTCCAGTTCTTTTCATGATAATCTAAACTAAGCATTGTGTCTGTCTTTTCTTCCTGAATTTCAGAATGCAAACAGTCTTGATTCTATACTTTTATCTCTGAGAAGAGTCAATTCGTTGGAAAGAAAGTAATTTTTCTATGTCTTTTATATTCCCTTCCCCAAGACTCTTCATTCATAGATGTATCCCAAATTGGAAGTAATTCAGTTCTCCAGAGAAAAAGAATGGCTTTATCTCCTGGGGCATGGCAACTTCCTGATGTTTTGCCTCTCAGGATGGATGTAATGAAAACTAAATATTGAGGAGCTGCATTATTCTCTATTGACATCCTTAATAATGATTGTTTATCTCCTTGTCTTGGCATGGGTGGTGTTTGTGCCTCCAGTGATGATCTGGGTTCAGAAAATTCAGTGCCTGATTTTGAGGAAGTCTTCCAAATTCTGGTGTCCTTATTAAAACTCTTTCAAACCACTTCAGTCAGAAAAATCGCACTGTAGATTTTTGTGAAGTTGTATTTTTGTTTTATTTGTTTTTTTTTTAATGATTTTCAACCAGAAGATACTGTGAAAATGAATCAAAGGAAAAAAAGGAAACTGTTTAGGGCAAAACTACAGGGCAGTCTTCTGGCTTCCAAGACTATTTGAGCTAATTCTACCTTCTGCTGTAATGCCCACTGGGTCTGAAGTGATCCCAGAACTTCATGTGTGACTCGGTTTCTTCATAGGGACAATTAATTTTGTTTGTATAGAGAGCCCTTGTGCTTTTCTCTGCAAAAATGGCCTCTCAATGATCGAATAAAACAGCTGTTCCCTTTGCTGTAGGGATATCTTGCATTTTTTATTCCCTAGAGCAGAGTGGGGAAGTTGGAGTTTTTCTTATTCCTTTCACTGCTTTAGGGGCCATAGGGTTAATTTAGTAGAATATTCTTATCTCCAAGCTGTAGCAATGTATGTTCTTGGCATAATGAATCAGCTGAGTGGCATCAACAAAGAGATTTAAGCAGATAGACAGAAAGATAAATATCTCTTTGTTCTGCCTGGTAAGCAGTGCATTGCTCATCATATTTCAGGTTGACTGTAATTCAGTTTTGTGATTAAATACACTGCATGTTTTCCAGTGGTACCCGTGTTCTTGGCAAACACTTCAAAGGGGACTGGATTGCAAAGAGGGCTTCAGAAATGTTCCACACTAGCACTGGTGGTTGTGAGGCTTTCATCTCCTAGACTGAAAACCTGACTTTAGGCCCCCTGCACAGAACTAGAATTCCATCTAAACTTTCTAGTGAGATCTCCTTGCTAATTTAGATGCAGCTTTAACCATTTGAGGCTTCTGCTTGTTGGCTGGAGATTCATGTCAGATGTTTCTGAACTGCATGGGTGACTCAGGTCCCATGTTCTGAGCTGTTGTGCTCCAACTTTCACTGATGTGCAGCCACAAATGGAGGGGCAGTTCTAGAAATATGGGAGACTAAGAAGGGATTGAAGGTTTTCCTTTCCCCCCGGTCTCACCAGGCAGAAGTGGAATTCTTGCAAAGAAAATAGGAAAGAAAATAGGATTCCAGGGAAAGATTTGGGGTGGTGGTGAAGACAGTGCTCCCTGTCAGAGATGGCAGAATAAGATTAGGAAGACACACTGTCACAGGGGAGAGTCAGATTTGCTCAGGCAGATCTGATCCAGTAGTTAGTTTCGTTTTAATCAATAAACCTGGGTATGTGAAATATTTAATAAGTACAGATGAATTGAAGGACAATACTATTTATTGCACTTAAGGTTAGTATGGGATGCAAAGATGAGCACATAAGTTCACTATCCTGAATGTCACACACATGCAAAAAATGTCACTTACCAACCCATCCATGTCTGGTGTCAGGCAAGGGATCCCTCAGCCTTGAGGGGTAACCTTGAGAGCTGTCCCTGCTCAAGGGGAGGTCAGTGCCACACATCCAGCTGCTACAGAGGGAGAGCTCATCTGATAGCTGCAGATATTTATAGCTTAAAGTGTTTGATGTGTATTCAGATTTTTTCTCTTAATGCAGCTTTGGCCACTGATCAACTCAGTCTTTAGCCAAAATAGTGATTTTTTTGGGTTTGGTGCTGAATTCCTACTGATGGCCTCACAAGACAGGAATCCCTTCAGTTCACTCAAAATAGGAAGCACCATCCCTGGGCACCTCTGAAAGCTGTGTGGTAGGAAAACTTCCATTCCCACTGGCCACTGACCGTAACCAGGGAGAAGGAGAGGGTCTAACTAAAGAAAATCAGGAGGAGGGTCAAAAGACAGGACATTTTGCCTCTTACCACACAGATCGTACACACTCACTCCAGGAGGGGTGATTCTTGCTGCCTACAAATCTGTGCAGTGCTGCTTGTACCTGTATGATTCATTTCCACCATCTGTATTTGTGCCAAAATATAGATAGATACCCATGCTGGTGCATCCCTAGATGGAGAGACCAACAGACACAGACAGGTGGGGAGGCCTCCTTTTTCCATTCTGCCTTCTGGAGATCTTGGCATACTTACTCTTTCATTTATTCACTACTTTATTGACTATAGAACTGAAAAAATGGAAGAAAAAAATAAAGAAAAACACTGACAGCACAGGAGAGCAGAGGAGAATCAATGAAATCCGACAGGAGAAACAAAATGAATGTGTTTTTTGCCCCTTCAGCAATTAATTCTCATTGCTTCTGATCAAAGGGTTCAGGAAACTGTAGCCCTGCCTCTCCATCTCTTTCTCACAGAATAGAGTATCTCAGCTTTATTTTGAAGAAACTGTTTTGATCATGAAGGGGGTAAGTACTACAGAAAACATGTGAGGGAACAGCAGAATTATTCTGCTCACCTTCCTCCATGCTTTTCAAGGAGTATTAAATCTAAAGCATAGGACAGTTGTGTGTTCTGGTCCCTATGGAGTTGAGATTCAAATGTGGAGATCTGTCTTAAAAGATCACAAACACACTTTGAGAGAATTTTTTTTCAATAAATTCCCCAAGAAGCTCTACACACAGTGCTTCCCAGCTTTTCCCTCTTCCTATTGACATTGACACAGAAAGCTTAGACTTCAAGCTCTGAGTGCTAGAGGCTATAAAACCCTAGATCTAGTCCAATTTCATCTGTCCCTGAACAGCTCAGAGAAGCTCTGAGTCTGATCTAAATTGTCCCTACCTTATGCTCCCCAGCTCTCTTCTTCTTGTCATGTTTTATATACTTATTGACTTTTACAGAGCTTCCTGAGTAATTCTTCAAGGAAGATTGACTGATTTAAGGGGTTAGTCATCCTGCAGGTTAGTAAACATGACAGCTGGTTGAGGATTAACAGGAAATCATGAATAAAATCATTGGGATTGATAAGGGATTCTCAGGCAATTAAAGTTTTCTTGCAGAGAGTCAAATAGAAAACAGAAATACAGAGTGAAGGTCAAAGGAGGAGGGTGACCTTCTCCATGCTGACAACCACTGAGCCTCAGCAGGCAGAGTTAGTGTAGGTGGTTACCAGCAAGGTGAGGCAGTGCTGGAGAGCTGCAGGACAAGGTTTGGGAGCCTGGGCAGAGCTGTGTAGGACTGGAATTGCTGTGGGACCAGCAGGTCAGTGCAGGGGCATGGCAGCAGGGTGGTGTGAAGATGCAGAGCAGCATTAAAATGAGTTTGCAACCTGGGCTAGGGATGCTGGTTGGTACCAATGGTAGAGGAAATTGCAGGAGCAGACCAGAAAAACCCTCCAATCCCTCCAATGTCCCCCTTTCCAATGTCTCCATCTGCTTCATCACTGGAATTGAGGTGTGCTGCCCACGCTGCTTCCTGCTTGTTCCTTCCATAGCTTCTCTAGTTGCTGATTTTCTTCAGGCAGCATCTTTCTATTCTCTCACTTAACCTTTAGCTGCTTCTCCTGTCCAGTGAATCCCCACTGATGACTGTCAAGTTCCAGGTGTGAGAGGCTCTGGCACTTTGTTTAATGAAGTGGGGATGGATTGGAGCCCACTGACTCTGGAGCAGCCACACCAGGAGCCATCTGCTGTGAGCTGCAAGGGCTGACTGGCATCCAGAGAGCTCAGCTCCTGCCCTGCTCATGCTACCTGGCCCCCCAGTTGATTGCTGAGCTCCTGACAGCTTTTAATGTGTGCCACAGCAAGGAGTGGCAGGATCAGTCAGGAAAATTTAGGCAGGGTTGGTTTAAAGGGAGGGAGCCTGGAGTCTGCTGTGGTTTCATATTTGTCCTAAAGGCCAGGGCAAGGCATGCAGTGAGTGAGGGGATGTGTTTTAGAAACTCAGCAGAATTTGTATTATATCACAAGCTTAATCATCTTCTCTTTTCAGTCTGATATCCTGGAGCTACGTGATTAAGGGAATATTGTAGATCTCCTTTCATATTTCTATAAATGTATTTTTAAAAAAAATATTTCTTGGTAATTTTCTTGTCCATGCAGTAAAGCCTTAAACATTATCTGAATGTGACCTTTAAAATCTTGGAGCCAGAAAGCAACAGAATAGAAGCCCAAACTTCTATTGCTCGTGTTGGTGTTTTGTTAATTTTTAAATACTGTGGGTTTCCAGAATCACTTGATTCATGGCTTTCATTATGCAGGTATTTGTGGGAATACATTTAGAAGTGAAACATAATTTCTCTGGCTGTGACAGGACTGTACAGCCACAAGGTTTTTGAATTTGTTGATCTCAGCAAGGTGTTCTCTCAGGACTGAAGTGTGGCACTATGTGAAGATTTTATGCTGTTTGACTACTCTTACTTTATTCAGCTTTTCTTATTCCTCAGGAACTTTCATAGTTTCAGGAAATCTTGTGGTGCTGCAACTGGAATTAGGTTTATTAACACCTGGAAGGAGATACAGGCTTATAGTTTGGTTCAGCTGGAGGGTTTGTGTTTCCAGACAGGACACTGTTGTGGTTTGGTTTTTTCAGGTATTGTTCCAAGAACATAGGTCATGTTCAGCAAATAACATTTTAAATATTAAAAGAAGGTAAAAAATAAATGTTTTTTTAACTGAGACCATTAAGCCAGAATGAGCAGGTGCTCAAGTCCGAGTTCAAGCACTGAGTAGCCCAATTACCAAACAGGAAGGAGTTGAATTCAGCCTTTTCTCTCCTTTTCAGAGTCCAACAGCCGCCGGGCAGTGAACAGAGGCTACCTGGGTGAATTGCTGAGACTCTACCAAGACTGGCATCTCAATGATGTCTCCAACAACTACATTTACATTCGTAGGGGTCTCCTGCTCTGCCTTAAATACATCACCAACATCCAGCTGGGCAGGGAGACTTTCCTTGGTTCCCGGGGAATGGAGATTCTCTTCACAAGTGTGCAGGTAAGTGATGCTTTTTGTGTTTAAATGGGGTGATTTGGTGCTTAGGGCTGGATTCTACATCCCACTGCAGGAAATTCCATCGTTCTGTATATTCAAGATAGGACATATAGATGAAAAACCTGATAAAATTAAGAACTATCATTAGTACAGTTAGTACTTTAGAAAAGCTGAAGTGTTTAATTTTAAAACAAACCTTTATTCCTAGGAGATGCATGGGAATTTTAGTTCATGCTTTTATTGCTTCTTTTCTCTTTGCTTGTGTGTCCTGCTGCCTGCTTGGACTACTTCTCCTGAGGAATAATGCAATATCTCTGTAGGGGAATTGCTTGGCCTTTTGTGAGATTTTTCTTTACAATATCCAAATGATTCCACTCAATCAGCTTTTTAAACAAAATGCTCATTTAGCCAAGCCTTTCCTAATGAGAAACACCCATCAACGGTTTTTTTCAGGAGGTTAAATTTTAATCTTGTGAAACATTAATGTGAGTTCAAGAAAGATGCTATGGTCCTGTGGATGGGATGCCTATAAGGTATAGAAAAGGCAGGTACAGAACAGTGAGAGTTTCCTCAGCCCCTCAGCAAAATGCTTCCTTAGCTTGCTTTGAACTTGGAGAAAATCGCCTGTGTGATTCTGAGGAGTGTTTCCATTGTCATTCTTCCTGGCTATGCATTATCTCACTCTAGAACCATCAGAAAGAAAAACCTGTCTCCTTCTCCCTTAAAAAATCCATTGCCTTATGATTCAGTGTGTTTTTCTTCCCCTTCTCCATCACTGTCATGAACGATTCTTCTGTGAGTCATTTCTTACCATCAGCGTATGGGAGACTTCTGGAGTTTTTTTCATTTCTTTTCTCAGGAGGAATTGACCTTTTCTTTAGGTAGGATGAGGTGGCCAGAGCCAGCAGACCTCCCAAAGGATTATGGCCTCTGTTAATGAGAAGTCCCTGGTCTGAAGAGATGTGAATAGGGTGGATGGAAAGAGCTGCTCGAGGGTGGATGTTGGCTCGTTCCCTCTCCAGAGCCTTCCACAGCCCATGGAGCTTTCTGAGCTAACACCTCCTGATAGCTCCGCCTGGGAGCAACTCCATGGGAAGTGCAACCGTGGGGTCACCTTGGGTGAACAAACAGGAAATGACATACCAAGGCTCCAGAAAACACTGCTAATGCTAATCCTTCCAAAGGTCAGAAGTGGAGTGGAAATGACAGCTTCAGGGGCCTCCAGTTTCCTTTTTTTTTTTTTTTTTTTCCCAGTGTGTTTTATCAGGGAGACCTTGGACAAGGAATAACCAGGGTTGATAGATTCAGAGCTCAGTATTCTCTCACTGCTTCTTTGGGATGTTGTCAGTCTTGCAGTGTCTCTCCAAGCCATGAAGTGTTGGCAGGAGTCTGGCAGCCCTAGGAGGTCTCACTCTTGCTCTTCCCTTCTCTAACCTGAGGCAAAGGCTGCTGTGCCATGCAAATCTTCATAATTTTCATGATAGAAAGGTGGGAAATCTTGTCTCTTGAGATGGACAACAGGCTGTAGCAAGAGAGAAAGAGATGAAGACATGACAAGACAAACAGCTGCTGACTGGGAAAGCAATGACTCTGTGTGTGGACAGTATTTTAGTGCTTTTAGGGAATGCTCTAGCTGTGGTGATTAAGCTGGACCAAACTCTGAGCAGCTAATGAGGTTCTTAAGATGTTAAAATCTGGCTAGAAAAGTTCCAAAACTTTTTAGGCTTTTTTTTTTTTGTTTTTATTTCTTATACAGACATATTTATTGAAATGAAAACCATTTTGCCAAGATAGATTTGTTTTAAACTCCAGTGGAAATTCAATTTACAAGGCTGGTTTTCAGTTGAAACCTCTCTGGCTGCCTATTGTCTGGGCTGATGGACAGATGAAATACCTGAGCTTTTAATAGTCCTTAAGCTTATTTCTTTACATGAGGAGCCAATAGTTCAAAAACTGTCACCTCACATAGATTAGAAGTGCCTGCTGCTCTATTTGAGGAGAATTTAGAGATATTTTGGGGGAATTTAGAGATATTTTGAATTCTACTTCTACCTGGAATAAAAAATACTTTTAGATGATGAAATCATTAATAGAAAGGTAGTACTTTCTGTTCCCATTCCCTTTTCCTAGCTGCACTTAGATTTTCCTGACAGTTAAATGGTATATTCACATTAGCACTGTCTGGTTTTGTGTGCAGTAACAGAGCTGCCTACTCTGAGACAAGAAAACAGGTTTGTATTGCTTTAGGAGAGACTGCTGCATAGAATGTTATCTTGGTATTTTATCACTTTTCCATCTGGTTTCTTAAACTTGCCTTGTTTCTCTTCAGCCTTTCCATACTACTCTAAGATAATATTATCCTATATTCCACTCTGTTTGCCAGTAGGAGCATCCATCAGCATCACTATCTTTTGTCTTACTGTCATATTGAAACCTCCTTTTTTTTCTATATATCACATACTATAATATCTGTTCTATTCCAGATTCAGTGGAAAAAAGATTGAGTGTGGAGATTAAAAAACATATCTGAATCCAGGTTAGCTTTTCTTAGCTGAGGATTTACTAGTCCCTCATTCACATTATTCCACCACAAAATAAATGGGATAGCTTACACACAGAGCAGTCTCCTGCCTGCTTCCCAGGTGTCAGTAAAAAGGGCCTTTCCAACACACTGATGTAATAATTTTCAGTCATTTGTAAACAGTGTTACCTTAGAATCTGAAAGCAGTTTATGAGAAGTAATGAAAACAGTCCCACAAATTCCCTCTAAGGTATCTGAAGGCTTATTTACACTTGTGAGCTAATTTGCTGTACAGAAAAATATGACTTTCAAATAGCATCATTGAGTAACTCCATGTGTTGAAGTTCATTGTCTGGATGAACATGCCTTGTTCTTGACTGTTTAAATTCACTTGGCAATGAATTAAGATGGTTGTCCCAAGGCAGGCAATTAAACAGTCCTGTGTTCACTGCTTTAGCAAAAACAGATCAGTTGTAGTAAACTAAACTAGTAGACTGTTAAGAATATTAGCCTGTTCCCACATGTAGACAAACTTTCCTAATCTTTCCTTTAATAACAATCAAACAAAGGCAACCATACGAAGGAGTGAATAAATTGAAACAGAAATAGAAACCTTTCTGCTCGGTGTTTGCTCTACCCATAATAGAACTTTCCTCAGAGATGCTTTCATAATTTTCTTTTCTCTCCCCCTAGTTCCAAACAGCCAGAGAACTAGAAATACATATTAAAATTCTTGTAGTGAGTCTTGTAAGCATGTCAGCTTTAGATGATTTTTTTCTATCCTCCCTACAGGAATCCTGGTTAATCCCACTGAATCTTATAATGCCGTTCAATCATACATGAGAAAACAGAGTAGAATCCTCTGCAACCAAAAGAACCCCAATGCAGCCATTTTACTGCTCCCAGTTATAATAAAGGACTTTATAATCACAGAATCATTTAGATTGAAAAAGACCTTTACGATTGAATCCAGTCATTAACCCAGCACTCTCAAGTCCACCACTAAACAGTGTCACCTTTTCCTAGAAGGAGATCAGATTAGTCACACACAGGCATCTGTGTTCCAATGGTCATTTTATGTTCTTTATGTTCTTTTGGCCCTTTGCCTGGTTTTGCTGAATGTTTGGATTGTCTGGGTTTTTTCTTTTTGTCCAGCCCAAATCTTGACTATGTGCTGTCAGCCAGTGGCACGAAGTATCTGTTCTTTTCTCTTGGTTGTTCCATTTTATCTCTGCTGCAGGGATACAAAATTATGAAATAGTAGTAGAATGTATTGCAATGTTTCTCTCTTGCCTTATAGCATGTTCATGCTGCTTATCTAAGTTGCATTCCTGTTCTGATGAGCTCAGTCTTAGTTCCAAACCAATGAAGAAAATATGCTGAGAGGCAAAGTGAAAATTGTGAATTTGGATAAGACGGCTGGGATTTCTGAGAATTGCACGCATTGTTTTTAAAAAACTTTGCTTTTGTGCAGCATTATTGTCCTTTATCCAAACTCCCTGACTCTGTTATATTGAAGACATACACGCTGTGATGTACGAAGACATACATCACTTCTATGATGTCCCAGGGGCTCTTTGCTTTAGTTCTGTGGGGATTTTGGTTTGTTTTATTTGCAACAAAAGTGTGAGGAGCTCACTTGCACAACAGTACAACAAAAAATACAAAATACTCTGTCTCCGAAGTGTACCTGGGCTCTAAAAAAATCCTTACATGTCTATTTTTTATCCTCTGGATTATAGAAGCAGAAATTGTGGGATACTGGAGTTATTAATTATTTTATGATTAGGTAATATATAGTGATTTTTCAGAATAGCTCTTAGTCCTAATGCTTTAACCACAGAGATCAGAGTACAGTGGGAGTGCTCTCTTTGAGAATACATTGTGTACCATGAACACACTGAAATTGTGGTGTTGACTGTGTTAGTTTATCTCTGAGTTTTGGCACGATGACTCTGGGTATAGTTGTGCTGAAGGGGCAGAAGCACAGATTTTGGCATATTTTGGCAGCCAAAACGTACACATGGGCTCCACAAAACATTTTTAAGTCCATATTACAAACCATATTGCTTCAGTGCTACCATTACCTGTGTTAGCTTCCTTTAATGTATTGACTTGGAGCAGAGCTCGGAGCTGCTGTGTCTCCCAAATGGCACACAGGGATGGAAGTCCCCCGAGGTCCATGCTAACCTGCTTGTCTGTAAGAGATGGATTGCAGGAACTCGAGGCCTTGCTGTTCCAGTTGTGTTTCTTCAGTGATAAAAAAGAAGGGGAAATAATGTGAGCAATATGAAGCAATGGGTCCAGCACTTTCACATGATTTTCAGGTACAATCACAGTGAAGTTTCCTTGACTTGTGAATATTTCCAGAATTTAAGAAATACTTGAAAAGGAATATTGAAAAGTGATAACTAGACAAGATTATTTCAAGAGGAAACCTGTAGGTCTTACAGGACTGGGAAACCAAGATTATGACTTTTTGCAGTAGTTTATGGGTGTAATGGGGTAATGATTGGTAAAGGGAATTATGTCCTCATCATAGGAGTGGCTCTGTTTTGGGGGAATTATGTGTGACAGGGAGGACTGTTGTAAGAAGCTGTTCTTAATGTAGTTCTTGTTTGTTTCCTTAGGACTGTTTATCTTGTAAAAGTCTGGATCCTATCATAACTACTGCGACTCACATTCTGAGAAAGTGCTACCCCAAGGAGCATCTGCCTGTGGTGACTGTCAGAAGTTCCTATTCCTTCCCTCTTCCTGGGAATGCCAGTGCTGAACCTCCATGTGAGGGATCTGAAGGTAAATGGCCAGAGGGTGAGTTCAGAAGGAGGAGAAGGAGCATGACATGAGAATTAAGTGTGGGATCTGAGGAAGTGAGACTTGGCATAATCCTGAGGTTTACAGTTAAAATTAATCTGATAACCTACAGTGTCACTCAATAGGGAAGAAATTACTCCCAGGTCTTCTTGAAGCTGCGAGAATCTGTTTGGAGAATAAATGCAAGAAGACAGAAAGGAGCAAGGAAAAGGAAAAAAAATCTTCTGTTATCCAAAAAATAATGGAGCAGAGTGGGTAGAGCAGAGCTGGAGATGCCATTGCTCCCCAGTAAGAGACAGAGTCATAATTGTGCCTGTGCACTGGCTGCTTGGGGGGTAAAAACTGCAGCCTTTTCAGTAAAGAATTGCAAGAATTATTATCCTTTTCCCTTTCTAAAGCAAAAGCAGATAGCAGTCATGCTGCCTGAGTAAAAGATGGGAGCTCTTGCTGGAAAGTAGAACTCAAGCATAGGCAGGAGAGCTGCTCTGCAGAAAAGGCTCCGTGATACACAGAAGCAATTTTTGCTGCATTCAATTTCGTGTGGAAGATGCTGAAATACTGTAACAATCATAGCAGTAAAACACCCTAATCTAGATAATACAGATTAAGAGCATCCTGTAATATCACTGCAGCCAAGCAGAAAATCTCTGCATTGCTTTGCAAAATGAGTTGGATCCATATCATGGGGACATTTGTCATGGTTTTGAAAGGCAGTGCTTGAGTCCAAGAGAAGAGAGCTTTAAAAACTGGGTGAATTAGTGCCAAATTCATTTATATGAGATTAACAAATGGGATTTGCTTTAATAGGGTTGTGGTGGGTTGTGGACTGTGTGGCACACGTAGAAGAATTTACACTTATTTCTCTGTGGGGTATGAGAGGGATATTAGGTTGAACACTTTTGTCTCCTTCCTACTTCTGCAGGTGACAGTGAAAGTGAAGGGGAGGATGAGGCTGAAAAAGACTGGGATAACGAGGATGTGGAGAGTAAAGAGGAAGTAGGTATATGAGCCATAGTTCCCATAATTCTCTACATACTGGAAAATAAAATTTTTGTTGTCTGTTTTGACACTCTGAAAGATTATCTAAGCAGAGAATGTAGATGTGCATGTTGGTCCCATGTGAACACACTAGATTGGTAATAGGAGGATACTTGAAAGAAGGGAAGGAGAATGCACTGACTTTCACTAAAAAGTGCCCTGCTTTTTTTCTGTTCATTTTCATGCTTGTCACCCAGGGTGGAGGGGATTTGGTGACTTCTCTGTTCCAGCAGAGACTGCCCAGAATCACATCCACGGTCAGGGATAAATGGTGAATCTCTGATCCACTAGGCATGTACCAGGAAAATGGCACTTAAGGAAATTTGATTTATCATCTAGGAAAGGCTAACCCTCTCTTTATTCCCGTATCAGTGCATATTTAGGCTGTGCACCTACCCTAAGGAAAAGGTTAGTTCTTTTAAGCCACAGCTGGTGCATTTGAACCTATATGCCTTCTTTATTTGCTGCTGCACACAGACAAATAATACTATTAATTATTCAATACTTGTCTGAATTCTCCCTTAACACTCTCCCTGCAGTGACCTAACTGGCAAAAAAACCTTCTACCAGCTGAAGATAAGAGTGCAAACTTTTTTGTTGTGAAAATACAAACAAGCTCATATGCAAATGTGAATAGTGAATACTGCTAATAATTCTTGTCCACATAAAGAGGCTTGGGAAAGCAAATTAAAGAAATGAAGTTGCAAATACAGTCTAATTAGAAATGATTGAGACTTCTGTGAAAGGGAGTTCTCATTACTTGTCCTGTCTCTTTCTCCTCAAATATTAAACCGATGTCACCCAGGGAAAAAAGGAAGTTAACCCCCCACATTACCTGAGTGTCCTAACTTGCCCCTGTCTGGCTGTTTTTATCTGAATATTAGAGCTCATCAAGATGCTCACTAGGAATAAAGCTTATAGTGGATTTATCTCCTTCTTTAATTAGTTATTCATTCAGTAACAGCTCCACTATGCTTCTGAACTATTTCATTATTCATAAGGATTTACCAAGTAGATGTAAGCAGTTTTGGGGTTGTTTTTTTTTTATTTTGCCTAAGAGCTTATTCTGAATATGAGTTTAAATACTGTTTGTCTGGTTTACTGGCCATATATCTCCTGTAAAAAACCTTGCTAAAGGGGAAGCAAGCAGGGAATGGATAATGAACTTTCAGTTTATCCCTTTTTTTTTTTTTTTTTTGTATGAGATCTTTTGCACAATGTTTGCTGGTATTGATATGATTTACAAACATTTTCACAGCTACATAACACATCCATGCATGCTAGCAACACCAACTAAACTGAAACTTGCTTTACCCTTCCATCAAGAACTGTTCAGAGAGTTCTGTGAAAATAAAAATCACCACATCAACCATCTATTCTTTTCCAGCTGAAATTTGAAGCTTCTTATGCATCAGTGTGCTCTCAGTGGCAAATCCTTTTCAACTGACCTCATGCTCCTGGCAGGTTTTCACTGCCTTTTAATCTCTGCCCAAACAACCCTTCAGACTCTGCTTTTTCACCCAAGTGTGGCTTATGGTTTGAAATGCCATGGACGCTGGTGCATTCAGCCAATTTTACTTTTTTCTTTTTATAACAGCTTTGGAAATGAATCTGTTTGTCAGGAGTAAATAATTACTTTGATGGCATTTGGTGGGATGTAGACATGTTGAATTATTTGAATAATGCTGTAATGTAATGCCCAGTCATCAATGCCATGTCTCCATCCTTTCCAACTTCTTCTGTTTGTTTTTTGTTTGTTTTTTATGTAATAGTCAAATGCTTGACACAGTTTGGCTTTGGTTCTCACATCTGATATGGGTGCAGCTGCACATTAATGAACAGCAGCCTTTGACTGTGAAAATTTCAGATACTGTTTTTATCCTCAGTTCACTGATGGTTGAAATCATCTCATGGGACAGGTATAATACACGTGCTTTTCTGATTCTGCTTTTGTAGGATTGTGACTTGGAGACAGATGTGAATAAATTGAGGTCAAGGCCAGCTCTTGACCGGCCAGAACAAGAGCTTGAAAAATATGAAGCTCTGTGTGCAGAACTTTCTCAGAATTTTCAGGTATGATTGTAGTGCAGTTTCCTTTATTTGTGAACGTTCTAGAATTTAAAAAATACTTGAAAGGGAGTATTGACAAATAATAGCAAGAAAAGGTTATTTTAAAAGTGAATCTCTAAGTCTTACAGGACTGGAAAGCCAAAGATTATGACTTTTGCAGTAGTTTATTGGTGTGAATCATGAGTGGTGAAAGGAATGATGTTTGATGCACATTTGTCTGGGTGTAAATTAAGTAAGCACTCTTGAATCAATTGCCACATGAGAAATCTGTCAGATAATTTGTATCCTTGCTGGCAATTTCAACAGCAATATCAAAATCAGAATGAGATGTGAAAAGTAAATACTGTCAACTAGTGGTTTGAAGGAAGAGGAGATTGCACGGAATGAAATGAACAGTTCAAATCATTTTTTGTAGTGGTGCTTGGGACAAGAAAATAAGGAATATGGCACTCATTACAAGGTGTAGAATTTAAGAGAGCTGAAAACCCTGTTTCAGATATGAATCTGAAAAAGATCACTGGGTTAATATATCTCCTGTATGCACAATATTGTGATATTGATTGTGACCATAAGTAGCCAGATGGAATTAAATCATACTCCTGCATGAAGGTGGAGTTTTGCATGACAGCTTGACCACCTTTTCCTTCCTGTAATATTTGTATTTTAAAAAAAATGCCTTGCAAAATATCTTCCCTTCTTTGTTGGAATGATTGTTTCTGGTTGAGTCATCTGGGCGAGTCATCTCCAATCAGATCCTTTTGGTTTCTGAGGATTTCTGTTGAAGCAGCTTTGTGGATAGAGAAATGCTGGCAAGTGGTCCATGCACTGAGTTTGCTCTGGCTGTTTTATTGGTTGAGTACAGTTTTGGGAGATATGTAAATATTTCCTCTTTTCCTCCTTGAAAGGTTTCATCTGGAAGGAGGCACAATCTGTCTGTAGTTTCTTTTAATTTCTTCTGCTTTTTAAATTCAAAGGAGCTTGAATTTGAGTCTGAGGAAAAGAAGAGCTTGGAGGACAGGACTGAGAATCTTCCCTCTGCTCCCTCTCATTTCATTCCAAGTGCTACTTCTGTGAAACATCCAAACTGCAGATGGAGAAACCAAAGTGTCACAGAGATGGGACCAGATCCAGGGGAAGAGGATTTCAAAGTCCCATTTCAGAGCTGGAGGAAGAAGGAGGAATGCATATGGGATAAGAATGATGAAAAGAGAGACATTGCTGAAGAAGCCCAGGATAAAGACTTCTGTGAGGAAGAAGATCCATCCAGGAGTCATGTGTTTGCTTTGTGCCCTCTCCCAAAAGATGTTGCTTGGTACAAGAAAATGTTTTACCCTCACTGTGAGACCTCAATCAATCCTAGTCCTGAAGGGAGACTGGAGAGCTCAGATATAATTAGAAATCTTCTGGAGAAACACCATATCCCATTCCACAGCCCTTGTTTCTATGCAGCCAGGGCCAAATGTGTGAAGTCCATCCCAGGCTACAGAGAGCTGGCATTCCCAGATTTCTGGGGTCACCAGCCACCTCCCTACAGCAAGCCCGTGTTGGAGCGCAAGCACGGGGTCCAAAGGTGACTGTGCTTTAATGTAGTGACCATTTCGAGAGCTCTTGAGCTCAAAACTGGCTTTTGTAGGTCTGACTCTAACAGCTCTTGTTGAATGTCTTAGGAAGTTACTGAAAAAAATTTTTTATATCCAATTATTTGCCTTAATTGGTAAATGCATCAATATACCTGTATTTGTGATAGGAATCTAAGCTGGGTTGTGAATCTGTGACCTTGTTAGAACACAAAGGAGAACAAGTCCATTTTAGAGCTGGAGAAGCCTCTGTGTCCTTATGAGATGTATTTTTATCTTCAGTCTTACTCATTATTCAGCCACCTTTAGTGCTTGCAGCATTAGTCCCGTCTGGTTCTTTCAGGGAAAATCCTATCTGTCCTCTCAGGAAGGACCTCTCGTTATTCCAGTGCTCAGATGAGTGGGAAGCTGTGTTTTGAAGTTGTGCTGGGAGAGAAAGCTCTTATAACTACAGTTTTTTGTTCCAAGCCGGGCTGTATGCAATGACCTTATATTTCATTTTAGTGATTTATGGAATTATTAGCAGGTAGCAAAGATGGTGGATCCTATGCTAAACTTTAGAGTTGATCAACAAATGGCATTTGTTAAGACCACTGATTTCTGACTGCTAAGGAGAGTGATTATTTTTGCAGTAAATATATAAGCTAGAAATCTTATTTAGAGGAAAAATCACTCTACCATCTTCTTGCAGTGTTTCCCTAAAAGCTCTGCTTTCATGGCTACAGCAACATGTGTAACTGTATGGCTAAAATGGGACTAATCATATCATGCTTTGAGGCATAACATGATTGCTTCAAAGGTCAGGAAGAAAATCTGGTATTCCACATTTGACCATCTTCAGGGAACAGAGGAGCTCTGTTTAATAATGAGTAGAAATCAGCTTGACTTATAGTCAATATTCACTCTGAGTCAGATTTGTAGGTTTGTAAATTATGGCAGATATTTCCTTACAGAGTAAGACTGGCCACTTGGGGGTTGGCATTTACTGGGAAGAACTGAGGATAAATAAAATTTGACACAATCCAGTAGTGAATAAAAAATTTTGCAGAATCAGTGGTTTAACCCAAAAGGCAGCTTGTTGTAATGGGGATGGAGCAGAAGTGTTCTCATGATGGGAAAAAAAGTTCTCCTGGAATTAGCACATGGAAATCTTTTCCAGTCCTTAAAAAGAGTTTCCTAAGACTCCTTCTAGAAGAATATTCTCTATCAATATTTCTCACACTGTCACTACAATTTGCTGATTTGCTGATTTTTTCTTCCCAGGGACAAAGTCCTTGATGATGTTCGCCGCCTAATCCAGCCTGGGGATGTGATAGGAAGAACTGTGTTTGATTTAGATGATCCCAGGTGGGTCACTTAAACTGAGTGTGCAACCAGGGGCAGTGCCAGTGCTGTCACTGAGCTCAGGTTACTTGATCAGCTCTGATACAGGTAAAGAAGAAAGAACACAGGAGTTGAAGGCTAACAGAGGAAATACCCAGGAGGAGCAGATTCCTTTTAGATGACGCCAGGGAAAGAATTTGTTGTGGAAGTCACTGGAGGAGGAGAGCATCAAAACCTTTAGCTAGAACAAGAAAATACACCAAAGGGACTGTAGATTGTCCCTGGATCTGTCTGCATTGCATGCAGTGATTTGGAGCAGAGATGTGAAGACTGGTGCTGGGAACTGTACTTACAAATCCATCTTTTCCACCCCCTGAGGCAGCATTTCCCATTGAGTGTCTGCACAGCCAGTGTCACAGGCTGTAGATGTACCCTGTTTCAGAAGTGTGACACTCCCACAGCACTTCTGAAAAAACCCTCAAACATCTGGCCTTGTGAACTGCTTTAAGAGCTCAGCTATGGTCTGTGAGAAAATGTAGCACCAGGCAGTTGAGAGGGTCCCAAATTTAAAGAAATGGAATTCAGAGAAAGGACAGGTGACTTGGAAGACATTCTTTGGAGTAAAAAGGAGGCGAGAGTTTGAGGTAGGAGAAAGTTACGTAGTTGCTCAGGATTAATTTAAGGATTTCTAAGCAGCTGGAGGAAGAAACTGTATAGATGAAGGAAGAGTAAATACAGAGTAGTTGTATAAAACTGCTTTCTGCAATTAGTGAAATAATAACAGTCCAGTGGGAAAGTAAGTTGAATAAAGAAAACAAACATGGACAGCAGCAAAAGAGTATTGGGAAAAGGGAAGATGTGATTTAGAATTACTAAGCGAGAGTAGAGAGAAGCTGCATTGGATAGGAAGGTTATGGATTTGTTCACCTCCTCCTCCTTCCCAAGGTCTTGCTTATTAAAAAAATTATTAAAGCCGATTTTAGCATATGAAAAGTGCTGAGGAAGGCTTAGCTTTGAAGCAGCCCGCTTACAGGTGTCCTTGCTTTGCTTTCCAGCAGTGGCTCAAGCCCAGCTGCTCCAGGCTGTCTGACATTTTTCTCCAAGTTTGAGTCGGGAAACCTTCGGAAAGCGATCCAAGTGCGTGAGTAAGTACCTGTGCAGAGAGGTGTCCCAGCCTGCCTGCTGCTGTGGCCACAGCATGGGATGGTGGCCTTCTCCTGGCTTTGGAAAGGGTCAGCCAGGCAAGCAGGTTAGAGGATGTGGAGCTTATTATGCCTTCTAACACCTGGATGTCACGGAAGGAGCATGATGAAGAAAACAGAGCTCAAAATGTTTTGACTATTATAGTGAGAGTATTTAATGGTGCTTGATGGTGATGCTCACAAGATATCAATCAGTTTGACTGCATAGCCTGCTGTCAGCATGTTCAGCGGCAGACAGGAGGTGTTCATAGCCACTGCTTTTATTATTTTCCTTGCAGGTTTGAGTATGACCTAATTATGAATGCAGATGTGAACAGCAGCCAGCATCACCAGTGGTTCTACTTCGAGGTCCGTGACATGAAGGCAGCAGTTCCCTATCGCTTCAACATCATCAACTGTGAGAAGTTCAACAGCCAGTTTAATTATGGTATGAGCCTTTGGGGAGTTGGGGTGGCCTTCTCTTCACAAGAATGTCTTTCTAATGCTGTGAAGGTTTCAAACTCTCCTTGTCTATAAGTATAAGGGAGACTGTAAATTCAGTCTTATCTGCCCTGAAGTCCACTGAAAAAGTCACTTTAGATTTGTCAAGGAACCTTTGTCTATTCTCAGGAGGACTGAGGAGGAAACTGAATATTGAGACCTGGGAGAGGATTTGTGAGGGGAAATAAATGTCACTGTTGTGTTTATAGAGCAGAACTGAAGAAGAATAGCACTGGATTGGGAGAGCTGGCGGGGGAAAGACAATCTTTTGGAACTGAATGAGCAGGATAGGATTGGAAAGTACTTCTAAGATTTAAATAAATGTGATAATTCTCAAACAAATATTCATGGTTCTTCGTTTTTTTCTAGTAAGACATCTTCAGACCTACTGAAATTTCTGTTGATATTAATGATGATAAAAATTCTGTTCCTTGTGGTCTTTGAGCTCCTGTCATGGTTCAAGAGGAAAGTAGAATGGTTCAGAAACAGGCAGAGCAAATCTCATCTTTCAATACCCATTTTAGAAGAGAAATTATTTCTTCTGAAAGGAGACTGTGAATTGAATTCTTAGCTGGCATAGGGTGGGGTTTTGGGTGGTTTTTTTTGGTGTTTTTTTTTTGTTTTGGTTTTTTTTTGTTTGTTTGATTTTGGGTTTTTTGTTGTTGTTGTTGTTGTTTGTTTGTTTGTTTCCATGGATCTCTGTTAATTTACATCAGCTCAAGACTTCACTCAGAATTTTTAATAAGTCCATAATATTAGACTTTGCATTCCTCTGAAGCCCCGTGGCTCCAGTCTCTGGCATCACCAGAATGACTCTCTGAGAATCAGTGTACTGGTAACAAACAGCATTAGGAGCTGGAATCACTTGTATGTGTGAAAATGCCTGGATGAGTGATGTGACAAATTAAAAGGCATTTACTCTTTAACCCGAAGGGATGAAGTTCAAGTATTCATATAGGCCTCAATTGATTTTTTTTGGTCATCTTATATCAGTGTGGTGTGTGTGGTAGGAGCCTGAAAATGAAGGATGTTGATGTCCTATTTTAAACCACGATGCAATGGTTGATGTCGCCCTTAGTGCCTTCACTCTTGTAGCCAGAGATTCAGGCTGTTATTGGTGGAAGGTTGTTATCTGCTGGCTTGGCTGTTGTCAACATTTATAATCTCATTTTGTGTACCTGAAACTGCACATGACTCACATGTTCAAGCATGCAATGAAAAATATATTTGGAAGAGAAATGTGAAAATACCATCTGGACTAAGGAGGGAGGCTAAGCCATGGCTGGCTTTTGGATGGCTTGTTTGTGGGGTTGGCTATTAAACAATTCCTCTGTGGGTTCCTTCTGCTGCTCCAAGCAGGCAGTGAAGCTCCAGCTTTTCTGGCTTGGCTGAGTAAGGCTCACTACCCCTTCTAGCACATGCACAGCATTACCACAGAGCAGGGGTAAGAGATGCTGTTTATATGTCACATTCCCTCTGCACTTTCCTGAGCTAATGCCCACACTCTGAGACAAAAAGCCTCCACTTGTGATGTAGTGCCAAAGTGCCCTGGGTGGCAATTCTTTACAGCTCCTGGTTACTTGTCTGGTTTGATTTTTCTCATTTGCTCTTGATTAGATGGCACTGTGTGACTTTCAAAACAAGAAAAAGGATATTTAATGAAGTAGTTGTGGCCAGGAGCAGAGCAAGACAGGAGGTGCAGCTTCCACCTCTCTCTTTCCCCCTCTTTCAGTAACTTACTCTACCGTGGGAAATAACGGGATTTCATCAGAGCCCTGATTTTAGTTTGTTTTCTAAAACCGAACATTTATTTCCACAGGGGAAGTAAAAAGGAGAAACAGATTTTATTTTTAATTTAAATGAGATGGAAGACTAGTAGCAACCATTGCTCTGAGACAGTTTCATGAGTCCTTTGGACTCGGACAGAAGGGCAGGAGCTGGCATTCAGGATATCAAGACCCCTGCAGAGTCCCACATCCTTCTCTGATCAACATCTGGACAGGCCTGTGTCTCTTAAAATTTGTGGTGGCCATGTCCTGGTACCAAACACAGAATTGCCTCTTGTACATCACTCATTGCACTGGTTCAGAAAACAGCATTCTAGAGGCTGCTCCTGGCTGTGGTGAGTTAGTGCTGCCCCACAGCACAGCCAAAGGCATTGCTGCTGATACTCCTGGCTCCAGCAGTGCTGGAGAGTTTAACAGAGAAACCCAAAAGAAGCAGGGAACTGAATAGCTGCTAATGCAAATGTGTCATCAGTATTAATGATTTTCAAGCATCACGTCCCCCCAGCACAAGAACAGCTAAGAGAAGGCTTGGAGGGGCATTTTTGTCTTTCCTGAATGCTCTCTCACAGAAGTGATGCCAGCACCACGGCTGGGCTCAGCTGTGGCTGTGCTGGGTCCACTGGAGCTGCTGACAGGAGCCTCCCCTGCAGCCCCCTGCCAGGGACACCCTGTGCAGAGAGCTCTGCTGGGGAGGGCAGCATCCTCAGCCTGCCCTGAGGAGCAGGCAGGGGTGTACAGCAAAGGAAATTGATACAAGGACTCTCTGCAGATGGGCTGGCTTCATGGAGCTGTGAGTAATGATGTGCAGCTCAGATCAGAGAAAGCCTTGCCCCTCAGGGCATGGAACTGTAATATTTTGGAGGTCAGGAAGAAGTCGTGCTCTAGGATAGTGCAGTACAAAGATGGATGCTATTGTTAGCAGCATTTATGGCACTTAGGTGTTATTTAGGTCTAATAGTAAGTTTAAAACCTTCTAGTTTTGCTTGTTGATTTCAGAAGGCGGGATACTGGATGCACCACAGATCTCTGATGCTATGGTAGGATTAGGAGTTCAATAATAGTGCATCCAAGCATGAAATATTGGACTAACCAAGTTACTGATCTTGTTGATGCCTTGGTTCATATTATTTTCTTTCTCTTCCACTGTTTGTAAACAAAATGGTTTGCAAAGGCCAGAAGAATAATTTATTTTTTAATAAACTCTATTCAGCTCATTTCTTCTGGACGGGCTTTTTCTACACACATGGCTGTCTCAGAACAAAACACTTTGGGCTTTGGGAATGCATAAACTATCAGCAGACATCACTGACAAAATAATGATGATGCTTCTTTAGGCTTTTTCTTCCCACTCCTGTCTTTTCCAGCCAGGGAAGTCACGTCACCTGAAGCTGTCTTGTTTTTCTGCAGGAATGCAGCTGGTCATGTACTCAGTGAGGGAAGCTCTGCAGGGCAGACCTCGCTGGATTCGGGCAGGCCAGGAGATCTGCTACTACAAGTAAGTGCACTTTTGGTGAACAATGTGTGCCTTCCTTTCTGCACTGTTTCACTCCTGTTAGCTGCACTGATGTCATGAGCCTCTTGCCACCAGTGCCCCCTATTTCAAATGTCTCTGAATTGGTGCTGGCTCAATGTGTTATGTGCTTCCACCCTCAGAAAACAGCCACAAGTGAGGTCTCACTATTAGATGCCAGGAAATATGCAGAATTCTCTTGCTCAGGAGGAAGGAGAAGGAAAGAAGTAGTGTAGTTGTTTTTACCCCTGTCTGGGAAGAAAACAGCCGGATGGGATCATTGTTTTTCTGTTGCATACTCTGAGTTTTGTAAGAGATAAAGGAGCTGAGGAGAATGGGTTGGATATACAACAGTGGTGTAAAGGAATCCTGACAAGCTCACTGCTGATATCTGTGCAAGTTCCCTGTTTCAGGCTGGTTTTGCAGTGTGCCAGAGCCTCAGAAGAAAATTCCAGTTTGTCCCATTTTCTGTTGTAATTGTCTTTTTTTCAGGAGTGGGGTAGGATTGAAGGCACAGATTATCCTCTCTCAGCCTAGCATCTGTCCACAGCAATTTGAGTAGCTATTTTATTTGTTTCAAGTACTCTTTGCTGACCTTCATGTACCTGACCTTAACGTTTTCTACCTCAAGAGCTCACATATATGATGCAGTGGCTTTCCTTTACATGCCTGTAATGTCTGACTTCTCTGAGCACAGGCAGGCTTTTCATGCTGGGTACCATTGCAGTGGCTTCCCATATCATTAACAAGGCTGCTATTGTGCAGTGATTAAACAGCAGCTGACTTCCAAGATTAAGCCATGATTGTGCAATTAAGCCTGTAATCAGATTCTTGTTCAGAATATATGAGAGAATTGTTTTATTGATTTGGAATATTCTGTGTTTTCTCGCTGTACATTGAATTATGTGTCAACGTAATCATCTAGGATAAGTACTTGTTGTCTCTCATTTATTGTGTGTTCCTGGTTCTCACATATTTTTGTATACACAAGAATGTGCATGCATGCACATAAATACATTTTTACCTCTACTGAAACTTTAATGTTTTTATTTCAGTGATTATAAAAGATTCTCAGTCATTCCAAGTTGTAGGGGGGAGGAACGTGAAACTAGTGTGGTTTGGGCTGCTCAGGCTTTGTCTCAGAAGAGAAGGAGATGGGATTGCTACAGTGATCACACTGCCAGTATTTGGGGAAAGAGCTCACTTCAGTTCCATTCGCCCTGGTCACAGATATCCTAAGGTGGGGCTGCATATTTTGAAGGGAACTTAATCCAATTATTTTTACCAGGAGTTATTAATAAATATGGGGAAAGAGTGAAAAATACAGAGGAACCCAGGGATGCCTTTACTTGCTTTTTGCAGCAGGGCCTTTACTGAGAGACACCTCTGAGCTGAAGGACAGGGGGAGGAAAAGCTCGTTGGTGAGATGTCTGTGTGAAGCAGGCTGGCTGATCTTTGGCATTTTTCTTCCCTGAGGATGGGGTAGTTCACTCATAAAGATGAATGTTGTGGCACAGCTGTGTCACTGTGTACCTTCCTCGTATGTCTCACAAGAGTTTTTGTGTTGTGGAGAATATTAGCAGAGCTCTTGTCAAAAAGTAGCTGAGTGACACTTCTGCTCTGTTTTATTGCCTCTGTGAAGTGACAGGATACACCCATGATAAACAGTTGCAGTTACAATAAGATCATCTAATTCTCTTGCTGTCTTGGCAGCTTTTATGCACTGAATAATATTCCTTTCTGGCAAATTATTTAAGGAACAATGGCAGCTGAGTGTTGAATTGGTGACAATGTGCTTGTGCCTTCGGTTTCATGGCTCATTCTAAGCGTATTATCTAACCCTCAGCTTTTTCAGACAGTCAGGTCAGATAGTAATGAGGTACATGGAGTGTTTTGTTCTCACATCAGCACTAAAAACTTGGCTGTTTAGTGATCATAACGATGTCAGAACTAGGTCTTCTCTTTTCACCATCTTTGTAATCACATTAGATGAAATAAACATCATAACATTAGCAGGTCACTTCTCAGCTCTAATGATATCTGTGAGAGGGTGAGACATCAGTCTCACTCTGAGAGCACCTGGCCTTTGCAGTGTGACTTAATGGCACAATGGCTGGGGGAATATTCTACTTCAGCTGGAATTCTTCATGAAATATTGACAACAAAAATACCTTCTCATGGATTTGCCCTTCGGAAAGGAAGTTGTGTTGTGCATTTTGTGCTCTCCGATGTGGCAGACCCCAAACTAACAGCCATGCCCAGTAAACTGTTAAATACTGCTTTTTATGCAATGAACCAGGGTGTTATTAAAGTATCCTGCACGTAATAGCCACACTTGTAGATGTTAGGAGGTCTAGACATGGAAAATGAGGACACCAAACTCCAGGTGGGAAGTATTTTGGATTAAGGGAATACATCAACAGATTATGAGAGATAAATATTTTACTTTCCATTTGAACTCTGTTTTGTAGTGACCCAGAAGTCTGGGATATTGATACTTTCTTTGGCCATTTTAGTCTAAGCTGAAAATGCCATATTCCATCATCTAGCAATGCTTTTTACTACACTAAATGCTGCAGATAGGAAATCTAAAGATCAGATGGCCAAGAAATATTGCTCCTGAATCACTTGGTGCTTTTGATTTCCTCAGTTACAACCCAGCTCCTTTTCTGCCTACATCTTTGTCCAAATTGCTTCACCTGTCTGTATATGTTTCTCCACCAACAAAGGATGGAAAATTAGAATCACTTATCTGTCACCCAAAGAATGGGATAGATAAATGGGAAAACATGTTTTAATCAGACAATGTTTGCAAAGAATTTTTTTTTAAGCTCAAAAAATTATCTTGCAGAGTAAAAGAAAAGTAGTATTATGATTATTGTTAATTAATCATCACTGCTTATGCTGGAAATATAATACTTGTGCATTTTCTTCTGAAGGAGAGCAGTGAGCAAAGTGATTTCACTACTACAGTGACAGTAGGTACAGCTTACATGTTCATTGAGAAAACTACACTTTGGTCTCTTTTTTTCTTTCCAATAACCAGTGTGTTTGCTTCTAGAAAGCAAGAGAGATTTTCAACATGTTTTTGAAAGAGAAGACAAATAAGGTAGTGGCGACCAGATGTTGCCAGAGTTTTTTATTCCTTTCCTTTTCCTTGCTTGTTACTTTAGGCTCCATGCTGATATGGTAGGGTGTTGTGATGAAAAAGTGGTGAGGAACTAAAAAACATCAATCTGGTGGAGGAAAAAGGAAGCAATAGAGCTATTTTGGCTTGACAGCAGTAGGAGGAGAGGGAGGCACAGAGGAAAAATGTTATTTTTTTTAGCTTTCTTTTAAAAATACTCAGAGCTACTGCTTTGTATGACGGATTGTGAGGAGCCCAGATTATATACAGTAAAAGTACATGATCATTTACACTGCTTACACACAGGGGCTTTTTCTTTTTCATGCAAGAGTGAAGAATATTGAAGCTTCCCAAAGCCACCTGTAAACTTCCTGTTACTGCCAGATAGCTTGCTATAGATTGAAACAGATGTCAAGAAGTGATTCAAAAATGTCTTTTCTGGGTGTGTAGTTAGGTGGAACAGCAGAGATGCTCAGAACAAGGATGAAATGTGCTGCTGAGCAGTGCTGTGGGAGCTGGGCAGAGTGAGCAACACTGAACCATCAGTGTAGCATCGAGGTCAGAGGTGTCTCCTGCTGCAAAACCCCTGGGTTGAAGTGGCCATTTCAGGTAGGAGGGGACACTTGGCTGCAGAATTACAGACTACAGAGGGAGAAGCCTTTACTTTGGAGTGTTAGGGGCAGGTGGGAATAATGTCTATGTGAGATATTTAGCCAGTATCTGCCTGCAAAGGTCTCCTTCTTCCCACCTCTAATTACAAATGTGAACTTGGAGGGGAGGGCTTGGAAGAATTCAGCACTTTTGTGACTACTCGTTATGAATAAGGTGATCTAACCTTCCAGCTGACACTGAGTATAATAGAGGCCATGGACATGAGCATTTTCCTTCTGCACCATGCAGAAAATGGTTCTTAATTATCCTTCATTGTCAAAATTAACAGGAACTATAATAAATGTCATTGTTCTGACTTAAAAAAAATACCAGACTTTAACCCTTGATCCAGTGAAATACATATATAAATGCTAATTACATGATTCTGTATTTGCGGGTTTATTGATTTTTTTTTTTCTCTTTGAGTCTTTGTCCAGTATTAAGGTGCTTTATTTGCAAAGGAAATGTTGGGGTAAAGGGTTCAACTGAGAATGAAATCATAGGCTTTTCAGATTGCTACTGTGACTACATGGTCCTGCACTATCTATTGATCCAGTCAGTATCACTCACCCCACGTGTTCCTAAATATTGAATTCAAGTGAAAACCTAGCAGCATTGTATTGTCTCTCCCTTATGAAAAAGAGCTGATTATTTTGGAGAATTTGACAAGAATAATTATCTTTTCTCTCCACCCCTTTGAATAAAAATGAACGGCAGCAAAATAAACTAGTATTGTAAAATTCAGGAGCTGAAATTGCATCTTTTGGATCCCTCTTCTATTTTGCATTTTAATGCAACGTTGATGATAACATTTGTCAAAGAAACCTCACAGTCCTTCAGAATCAGAAGGTTTGGCAACAGCATAATTGGTGCAATGTGGGAAAAATATTGTTTGAAATGTACTTATGGATGCAATTTGCTCTGAGGCTTCTCCCTAAAGTGCATGATTTGTCACTTCATCTCTGCTGAAAGAAAACTTTCCTACTCAGCCTGAAGTCATCTCTTCATCAGAGTAGGTCTCCTGCAAGAGAGCAGGTCCTGACACTAGACTGAGGAGTTTGTTAGAAGATTTTGCAGTTTAATTGAAGGCAGTGTCAAGGATTTTGTGCCCTCTCAGACCTTGTCAGCGTTGACCAGCCTCACCCAGAGCTCTGTTGTAGTGAGGCTTCAGCTCAGGCACTGCTGTGTCCCTGCTGCTGTCCCTGCTTTGCTGCACATCCTGATCTGGATCCCGGCCCATGACCTGACCTGCCTCAGCACCACAATCTTGTCTGAACATCTGGAGCTGTGGCTGAACCCCAGGCTTGCCCTGCTCAGGTGCTGTGGGAGATGACCCTGCCTTGAGAGTTCTCTGCTCTTCTGGCTTCCATGTCAAGCTCAGCTCGCCGTTTTTTAGGGAGCAGCTGGTCCTCACTGTTCCCTGAGAGGTTCAAGTCTTCAAAAACGAGGAATACAAAGAAGAATTTTTGGGTAGGTCACAACTGGAAAATCTGTATGAAGTCACTTCTCCTTCATGCACAGTCTCTACCCAAACCCACTCTCCTTCCTACTCAGCAAAGTGCCTTCGTTGTTATCTGAAATATTTTTATGTATGTCCTATTTATTATTTATTTTTATTCCTGAAATATCACTTTTCTTCCTGTGGTAGAACTGAATAGTTGCTTTGGCAGGGTATTCGTATTTTATAAATCTCCAGACTTTTTGCAGAGTATTTTCTCATGCCATTGTTCAGGGCTGTGAAAAGGAACCTGCATCTCTGAGCAAGATAATGTGGATATCTGAAGAAATACAGCAATTTCAGCTGAATGCATAGTTTAAATATGTCTGGACTCTGCTATATGAGCTACTATTAGCTGACTGCTTCTTTATTTGCATCTTAACAAAACATTAATGGAGCATTAATGGATGTTATTTCCCTAGGAGAGTGCTCCCATCCCTCAGAAGCACGACTGGCTGTGCCCTGCAGTGCCACGTGCAGTTCTGCCTCCTAACTCCCGGCTGGGCTTTGTGTCCTCTTGTGTGGATGCTTCTCTGAATGCTTATTTTTCCCCATGGCTGCTTCATATGCACATCTAGAAGTGAAAAGCATTTACTTTCCTCCTCTTTCTCTTCTTGCAGAAACCACTACCGCTGCAGTGCAGCTGCAGGAGGAGGTGTGAGGGGAAGGTTCTACTACACCCTCACCTTCAGCATCAAATTCCCTCACAAAGATGATGTTTGCTACCTGGCCTACCACTACCCCTACACCTACTCCACAATGATGGTAATTCTGGCATGTCCACCTAGATAAGATAATGGCCCTGGCAGGTTGGAGCTGCTTGGGTATGTGTAGATTTTGAGATGACACAGAGGATTGCTTTCACACCTCCTCACCCCTGGGAGTGTTCAGGGTCAGCTTGGATGGGGCTTTGAGCAACCTGGTCTAGGGAAAGGTGTCCCTGCCCATGACAAGGGGATTGGAATGAGATGATCCTTAAGGTCCCTTCCCACTGAAAGCATTCTGGGATCATGATGGTGTAATTGCCTTGTTTACAGCTGCAGCTCCTGCCAGCTGTAAAGCCCAGAATGCTGTAAGAGAAAAGACATTTCTCTGTGGGATGAGCTGATCACAAACCATTAGTGCTTATTCCAGCCATAATACAGACCAAAGGTGTCTCCACTCACTTGGGGTGGCAGGATCCTCCTCCTGAAGGGCTGGGAAGCAGAGGGCTAAACCTAATGACAACTCAGATGTGCTGCCTGATCCTCCTCTGACCCAGGGTTTTCAGAGCTGCACTCAGCATTACCAGGCTCCTCGACCTCACCTGATACTTCACCAGCTCTTTCCTTGCAGCCAGCTGTGTCAGTAGGAATTTGTGACACTCCAGTGCTGTCAGTACAGAAACTAAAAGAATACAACTACACAGCACAAATTTAATTATTGAGTTGTACCAAGTTTTTTTGCTGGGCACAGGTTTGTTTTCCACAGCTTTTTCTGTGGAAAGGGGTGGATGGTAAGGGAATTTTCTGGGAAATGGATCCAGTGTGCTTCCTCTATAATTGATGAAGGGGAGACCAGGGTCTGAAGGGGAGATAGGATAAAAGAAGTGAAATAAATAGTTCTGGGAGTAGCTTTGCTTTGATGCTAAAGACGAGAATGATGTTACTGTAGATGAAACCATGCAGTTCCAGTGGATCAGCTTCCCTTCCTTCTCACCTCAATTTCCATTATCAACACATTCTGATTTGGGCAGTACATGCTGCTGTGGGCTGGTGGAGTTTGAGGTCCCTGTGTTTTTTACAGTGATATCAGTTTGCCATGACCAGATATTGGAGGCTGTGCTTTCCAGGGGATGGTGTCTTCCCCCAGGACTTGCTGTGCTGCCCAGCACGCCAGCAGAGTGAGGCTTAGATGGATTCCCACTCAAGAAAGCCTCTTGTCAACTGTTTTGCATCCCATTATAGACATTCAAAGAAACTGCTTCCAATCTGGAAGAAGGCCAGTCCAGCCTTCAGTCCAAAACATGTCTGTCAGCTCACTTCTTATCAGTACCTCACCAGTTACTCCTAAAGTTCTGTGGGGAAGAGTGTATGCTCCAGTGGTGGGGTCTGACCTTTAGCCCTGAAGGCACAAATATCTACAGTCTGCAGGGTAAAAAACACATGCAGTACTGAAGAATTGGTTGGACTTATTCACCACCATACATTTCACATGAATGCAATGCCTCATCATTATTTTACTGTTATTGATTTCTATCTTCTGCTGGCACAAAGCAAGACAGACTTGGAGAGTTTGTGTGCTCTGGGAATCACTGAATATCTCACCTGCTCCTGAATGAATAGAATAGAGATGAAGCAGATGTTATTCCTACGCTTGCAGGACCAGGTCTTTAAGTATTTCACTGTCTCTTCAAATAAAATGCTCATTGAAGTTAAGGGGAATTTTGCCCAAAGTAAAGTTTAAATTAACTCAGACACAATAAGGATCATAAAATTTGCTAAATGGGAATTATGGGTGGAAAAGGTTGATAGATTGTCATGTCCAGCTCTAACTGGACACTACTAATAATTCTGAAAGGCTTTTTTGCTTGGGCTAATTTAAAATGTAAAGTGATGTGCTATACACATTTCCGTTTTACTTTTATTTCCACAGTAAATAAACTAAATCAGGTTTGTGCATCAGTAGATTGCATTTTAAAGCATTTGTCCACTGGTGAAGTGTGTGCGTTTTACATATCAATTATAAGTTAAAAGTGATTATGAACCCAAGGGCTCAATTAAAGACATAGTGCTTTGGGGAAGAAGATAAACTTGTATATGGAGTTAGTAATTTGAAAATGTTTTTAAATATCATATATATTTAATGGTTATAGGCATATTTGCAGGAAATATTGCAGAATCCTATTTGAACTGGATGCACTCTGCAGTTCATTACTTCTTGTCCATTAGTAATTACATTTCTTTTATGAACAGTAATTTATCTATTTTTACATCACAGTATTAATTGTTTTGATATCTAGCTGAAATCTCTGTGGTAGCTGTACCCAATTAAGTTTCACTGGGTACCAGGAACATAAGTAAATGATGATATTGAGTTCACTGTATCTATGTGGGGTTGTTAAATGCATCTAATAATTGAATTTACTTTATAGAGCTGTATTTTAATTGTTTTATAGCAGAGCTGACGGTAAATTTCAGTTCTGTGTTTACACGGCTCTGTTTGGATGCTGGGAAAGCAGTCTGAAACACGGTGAGCTCCGAGCTTTGAAGAACAGGAATGTGGCATCCCATAAATGTGGATTAAAATTTAGCTCTGACTCACGGAGACAAACCATCCCCCTGTGAGGGTCACTGAGTGAACGGATGTGTTTTAGTTATTGTTAGGACATGTGTGCTCAGTGCACCTCTTCCTACCAGCTGGGAGACCAGTGGTGTTGCCCAGCCCTGAGCAGCCCCTGCAGGGGCACTGCTCACACTCATCACTTGCAATGCAAACAGAGAACCACACTTCGTCTGCTGTGTGGGTGACAAGTGGCTCCATCTCTAATGAGGTGATTGCAATTTGTTCCAAAAAGTCTTCCTTCTAAGCTGCCAGTTCTTTTTCTCAAATTTCTCAAGAAACTGTTGGACTTTAGAATTGTTTAAAACTGTCATAAACTTTGGTGGTGGAGGGGGGGGGGAAATCTCCCTTTTTAAATAACTTCTTGGAAAGACACTCTTGAAATTTCCCACTACTGATTGTACAAAATGTTGTTTCGATATAAACTTTTTGGCTGCCTCTAATATGGAGTTGTCACTGAGTTTCACTGGCATGTGCTTGACAGCTAAGCAATCAGTTCTGTAAATGTTCAAAGTGGTAAATTTTCTCACGTTTCTACAAAACCGTTATTAAAATATAAAGAGTAAATGCTTCTCTTTTGAATTTCATGTATGCATAGAAATTTCATTATGCTAACAAAAGCACCTAGGAACTATTCAGGCAAAATCATAGAATAGTTTGGGTTGGAAGGGACATTTAAAGGTCATCTGGTCCAACCCCTCTGCAACAAAAAGGGACACCCTCAAATAGATCATGATATAAGAATAAATATCCTGCACAGCTTCAGTGATCTGGGATGCATTGTGAATGGCTTGTGCATATTTGTGGGATGCAAAAGGTGGTGATATTATCTGGCAGAAGAGAGGAACTGGAAGGTTAGCAAGATGCAAAATGAGTATCAAAAATAATATACAGCTCCTGGAAAAAAATCAGGTTATAGAGTGTGAACTCCTTTATAAATCTGCTTCCTTGCTTCTTTTTCAGTCCCATCTTGATATCCTGGAACAAAATAGGAACCCTAAGAAGGTTTACTGGAGGCAGCAGACACTCTGCCAGACTCTAGGAGGAAATCCATGCCCATTGCTCACAATCACTGCCATGCCTGAGTCTAAAAACAGACATGACCTGGAGCAATTCTGTAAGTAGCCCAGTGAAGCATTAAAAAATATGCTGGTGAGTTGTGCTCATGTCAAGAGTGACAATAGCAACCTCTTTTGTGAATGTGCTGTTTTTCTTGTCTTTCTCATTTTGGAAAAAAAATATAAATATGAGGAATAACCAATTATGATGATCTTTAAAAATTTCAGGTTTGCATGGAGGAGGGAGGAGAACTGATTCAATTTTGTATGTCTAATTTCTCTTCAATGATGTAAAGCATTTGAAAAGTTCAAAATAAAGTATCTCCTAGAGCAAAAGACTGTGAAATAACTAATTCAACAAGATTTTTTTAATTTTGGGATTTCTTTTTAAATTATCTTTGTATTTTGAAATCTTAAATTTGAAAAAAAAAAATCCCCAAACCAAGCTAACCATTCTGAGCTGGACCAGCAATTGAAGTGTTCTGGTGACATTCCAGCTCCTCCAGTGTGCCCAGTACATCCATCTGGACACAATATACCTCTTCTAATTCTGTCTGAGACCATACTGATGATGTACTGTTTAATGGTAAATATTATATTTGCCAATTTATATCTAGAGCTGGTTATTTTTCATTGTGAGAGCCAGAGATTTAGGCATTCAGTGGCCTTGATGAAAAAGATTAAGATCAGTATGTTTCTGTAACTCAACAGCAAGTGATAAGATTCTGATTAGCATCACATTGGGTTAGCTTTGATTACAGAGCCTAAATCATTAACTACTTCTATGTAGCTTGATTTTTTTTTTCTGAAATCAGGAATAAGGTATGCAGTGAATTTTATCTCTTCAAACATAACACAAGTTGAGACCTTTGAGACTTGTGAATATTTAAATGGTCTTAAGATCTTTTTGGATGTTAAATGAATAGTTTTCATTGCCTCACTTAGATATTAGGCTAGAAGAATCCAAAGGGATTCTGTGACATGAACCACAGCTCTCATTGCAGACTTCTTCTAATTTAAAGAGAGCTGAAATATGAGAGTTGGTGAAAGTTATTGCAATCTTTTTTGGTCCAGGTTTAGAACAGAGTGACTGCAGCTATGCTGACATTACAGTGTAATCATCACAGCTCATACCTTTTTTTACTGTAATAACTTGATTACAAATTCAGCTTTTGCCCTGCATTAGCAAATTTATATCATGAACATGATTTTCTCAGTTGAAATATTAAAGCAAAATAGCCAAGTACAGGCTACACGGGGAATTTATAATGTACATGCACAGCTTTAATTGTGGCTGTCCATGCCTGGCTTGAGGAGAGAATTCCTTAAGCACTTTTTTCCCATGATAATGATGATGCAGAAAACCAGTGGGTGGGAGTTGGGGAAGGTTGGTTATCTAAAGCAGCCTGTGGCACATGGCAGGTGATCACCTGTTATTTGCTGACACCTCATGGCAGAAGGTCTCAAGGGGGCAACTGAAAATAGGTTGGAATATTTTATCTGAGGATTGGAGCCTTCTGGAAGAGGCACATGGTGAAGAAGATTTTCTGCCCAAGTGAGAAACCCTTTCCAATGGTGGTACAAAGCAAAAGCTGAGCTAATGTTTGGGTTTATCTAAGCAAGGGCTTGAAGTGAGTCAGTCAAATGAGGAATCAATATCATAAACACTGGACTTTTGCTCTTTTGGCTTTGAAAGGACTTTCTGAAAGGAGTGTTTTGCCATAAGAAAGCAAAAAAAAAATCAAGAAAGTATTGTGATATAAATGTTACCATATTGGGAGGCATGGCCATTTTCTGGATCATTGTATTCTCAGAGTGTGTTAGACTGCTTCTTGCAGTGTTGGAAGAGAACCTGGCAGGTTTTCAAAGGTTGTTAACCTATCTGCAAAGACAAGGCTTTGCTTGCTTATTCAGCCCAGTTTTGCTGAAAGATTCATAAAGCATCTATGAACAATTCAACAGACACTTTTTCTGAATGCTTCATACTGTTCAATATACTGCATCTAGGTTCAAATCCCAATTATGTGGCTTAAGTCCTCTTTATTTTCAATATAAATAAATATCTCCTGCCTTGTGGCAGTACATGGAGCCAGTGGGAGCTTGTAGTTCTCCCTGAAATGCCATGAAATCCTGTGCCACTAAACCGTTCCTCTGAAGCCTTGCTTTGCAATAAGATTGCAGACATCCTGTATCTATCCATGAGCCCATGGAACTCAATCAAAACAGAACATGTTGTTCAGTTGGACCCCAGTTGTCCGACTGAAAAATAAATTTTTTGGGGGGAAAGACATTGTCAAGGCAATGCAGTCTCACTCAAGTTTTCAAGACTGTAAAACTAAACACCACTATTCTTAAGTGATGAAAATATTTATTGTTTTATCAAGTGGAAGAACGGTAAGGCAGCACACCATGTTTTATGCTGTGGGGATGCCTGTAGGCAAATCTGAATAATCATGTATGTGCTTATTTTGTTTGAGTAGTTTGGATAATTATGGCTTTTGGGGATGCACTTAGTCTAATTTGTGCTGCTTTGTGTGGCTTTGATCAGCAGTTACTTCTCAGTTTCCTCATTTTGTATGACATACCCATCTTTCTGTGAAGTGTTTTGGCTGATGGAAGGACCTGTTTGTCAATGTTTTCCATGCTAAAAACATCACTCAAGAGTAGCAACTTAGAGCTAAATATGAAGAGACCAAAGGGTGGAGGATTTCCCTGCAATAAACCCCATGTCTTTGTACAGTCTCCATGCATGGGTATTCCAGCTTGAGAAGGAACGTGGCGCTTCAGCACTGAGAACTTGGCACGTGGATAATGAATAAAAATGGACAGCCCTTGATTTTTCCTTCTGTTCCAGGCCGTTGCATAGTTTTCATGAGCTATAGTAATTTTGATTTCCTGTTAAATTTATGTTGCCTTTGTTACATGTGTTAATCTGTACCCTGAGAGTTTCTTTTCAGCAAAGCCAGTGGCTCAAATCTCACCAGGACTTTGTAGCTGCTGTACATGATCATATTGAAATAATCTAAATCTTTCCTAAGTATAGGCACGAAGGGATAAGGAAACTTCACAGATAGAGGCATTGGGTGGGTGAGGAGTACTGGGAGGGCAGCAGGATCAGCCTGGTAGGAGTGCAGTGGGAAGGAGTTATTTGGTATTGGAAATGCCCAGGGAGAGTGAGGGCACGGCACCCTCTGTGTCAGCTGTGCTTTACTTCCTCAATTCATTCAGATTGCTCTTGTCAGGCTTCAGATTAATGTAGTCCTAGGTTAAATTTGTCTGAGTTAAATTTATTAACGTGCACCTTGTTAATAGGAAGCACAAGCCATGCTGAAGGGAAGAAAAATGGGCTACTTCTTTCTTTCATTATGCCTTGTTTGTGTGAGGCTTTGATATTCACTTTAGGCTCCTTTCTCCTTCCTCTCTTTTTATTTGCCCTTTATATGACAGTTGTGTAGTGAATAATTTTTATTATATGTTCAGTTCTGAAATGGGTGTGAAGACAGAAGTGAGCTGGGAGCTCTTGGGCTTCCTGTGCTTTTACTCTTTGTTCATGCAACCACTCAGTTACAATCAGCACAACCTCCACTCCAACTTGATCCAGGTTTGTGGGTACCTGGGGCTGGTCAGTGGTCCTTGCTGGGCTTTGCAGCTCCATAGACTTGAACAAATAGAAACTGAGAGGGTCTATATTGTTTTTTTTGTGGTTGCTGTTTAGCTTTAAAGTTACCTTTCCTGCTATCAGATGAAGAAGACTCAGCATCCAGCTAGTGCAGATGTCTTTAATACCCATTCTAACTGCAATATCCTCCATAGTCTTGTGATAAAGGTAAAATCATTCTGACTGTGTGGGTGACTTTATTTCTGGCTATGTTAGGTCTGCTGATGAGAATTTAAGGGACTTTTGAAGGGAGGGCAATTCCCAACATCTTTTCAGAGCGTTCTTGAATGCAGAAACAAGGAGAATGATGAAGCTTCCAAATCTTGGTGCCAACTCCCCACTTCATGAATTAATAGGTGTTTGCAGAGCTCTGATTTTCTTCAGTTTGACACACACACACACAGAGCCCAGTGAAGGCAGTGTTAGCAGCATGTATGTGTACTCAGTAATAGTTTGCAAACTCTTAATTCACAGTATTATTTATGCATGTGTGCAGTGTGTAACTCCACTAAACTCCCTGGCAGACAGCTGAGTAGACCCTGCAAGCAGTAGGATACTGTTGTAAGTGACAGAGCAAATGGACAGATTAACTCTTCAAAGAAGTGTAAGGAAAATATCTAAACACTGACGCACAGGCAGTGATAAAATTGTCTTCTTGTTAAGAAAGTAAAGGACACTGATACGTTGCTAATGCTGACAGAGTGCTGGAATTAAAACCACCAAGAGCAAAATGATTGGTCAGAAAAGAGCAGAGTACACTCTACGCTGCCATGTGAGTGTTTTTCAGGAGGTGTTTCCTGGCTTTACCCTGGGTTAGGGTGGATTTTCCCTCACCTTTATTTAGGGAAGGGAAGGGGCAGGACACCTCTGAGATGTGATGTAGTGTAGGTGTCATTCTGGTTAGTGCTAACACAGAGAAATGACTCAGTCCCAAAGGAATTGCACAACTCTCTTCATGGCTGATTGTACCGTTGTCATCCCCATTAATAATAGTGATTATTCAGTGTGTTATGTGTATTCCAGAGTCAAAACACCTAATGAGTATCCTTTTAGCCGTGGATAGCATTATAGATCTGAATTTTGTGGTTTAAAGTTAACCGAAATTGTCTCAGATAATTAGCAGCAGAGGTGAGGGAAATCAAACAAAAATGACACTAGCAAATGGATTTACATCTGTAATACCTGTCACTTTGAGTTGCTCTTCTGTCATCATGTCCTCTTTATGCATGGCTGAGGAAACCATTATGAATATTGTCAAAAAAAAGAGATAATGACACTTGCTTATCTTAAATGTAGTCTCCTGGGGATCTGAAGCACATTTTTTGTCTAGGCATGTTGCTGAAGAAGGATAGGGTAATGTTTTCAGGATAGATATGGTAGGATGCTCATACCGTTGAATTG